GGGAGAATGGAAAAGGGAGTCGCCGCGGTGATTTGAGATTGACGTCTCACGTTCCTTCAGTTCAGGAGTGTAAGTAATAGCTTGACGGAGAAGCGCGAGGGAACCGAACTTACTGGTTCTGAATCGCAAACCTCTTCATCGTCAAATTTATCAGCTGTTCTCTGCTTCTTAAGAGATCGAGGCTCGTGTCCAATGTCCTGTGTTGTTGTAGTACTGAGTCTAGCTCGTTTGCGTTTTGCTGACCCTGCGTAGGTAATACTTGATGACATGTGCCAAATATGCTACAATATCCTCCAGGAGCCAGTGGTTCCAAGTTGGATGTTTAAAAAAACAAAGCAGCGCGTTATACAAAATGATCGAGAGGTGAACAAGAGAACGGCGGGCAGGCGCGTTGCATCAGTCGGCATCAATTGTCTGTCAGTGTCACACTTCCTTTGCTTAGCACCAGTGAGCAGCGACACGCATTGCTGGCAACATGCGCCTTCATTTCTCTTTGCTTGTCGCGCTTTTGGCATGCCAATCTATCTCAGCCATCACCCCGACAAAGCGAAACCATTATACTCACGATTACTATGTCTTGGAACATCTACCTGGTGCCGGAGCTTCTATCCACGAATGTGTCACAGCTCTCGGAGTAGAGCTCGTCGAGCAAGTGGGAGAGCTGCGGGACCATTGGGTCGTGCGCATTGAGAAGCAATCTCTGCCAGTGCGAGAAGAGAGCTCAGCGACGGATCTTGTGTTGGGTAGATTCGAGGGACTGCGGACACGAGCTAATGAGCAGCTGCTCCCACATCGGTCCACAGGCGCGGGCGCTCGCGAAATTGTCTCCTCTGTGAAGTACCTATCCCGCCAAACTTTGAAACAACGCACCAAGCGGGACGACAGCCTGTTAGATCGAGCACCACCTCCCATCATTTCCCCAGCGGAAGAGTTGGGGGTCAATGCAACCGCTCATGCGGTAGCTCTGCGCTTGGGGTTCACCGACCCCATGTTCACCAAGCAGTGGCATCTCGTCAATGATGAGTATCCTCAACACATGATGAACGCTACACCCATTTGGGAAATGGGGCTCACCGGCAAGGGTGTTATCACCGCTCTGGTTGACGACGGTCTGGATTATCGCTCAGATGATTTGGCTGCCAATTTTGTGCGTAAAGAGTTTCCCACTAAAGTACAGTACTCATAGTTTGCGAACAGGATGCAGCTGGCTCATACGACTTCAATGATCATGTGGAACTCCCAACACCTGTCCTCTTCGACGACCACCATGGCACTCGCTGCGGGGGCCAGATTGCTGCAGTGAAGAACAACGTGTGCGGAGTCGGTATTGCCTATGAGTCCAAAGTGGCCGGCATCCGTATACTGTCTGGGCCCATCACGGATATCGACGAGGCGGCTTCGTTGAATTATGGATACCAGAACACTTCAATTTACAGCTGCAGTTGGGGACCTCCCGATGATGGCAGATCTATGGAACGACCCAGTTACCTCATCGCCAAGGCCATGGTGAACGGGGTTCAGAATGGACGGGCTGGTAAAGGCGCTATCTACGTGTTTGCGAGCGGGAACGGAAATGCACATGGAGACCAATGCAATTTCGATGGTTACACGAACAGCATCTTTTCCGTCACTGTTGCTGCTGTCGATTATAAGGGCCTGCATCCCTACTACTCTGAATCATGTGCTGCCAACATGGTTGTTGCGTACAGCTCAGGAGATGGCCACAGCATCGTGAGTTTTGCTTTTTTGTTATCCATGTCACTGCTCATAAAACGATCCAGGTGAGCACAGACGTCGGTAAAGACAAGTGCGCGACAACACACGGTGGTACATCTGCTGCAGCTCCTAACGCTGCGGGCGTCATTGCGTTGGCTTTGGGGGTTCGGTGAGTCTGACCAAAGAAAGCCATGATTATACTTTGCTCACTGTGTTTTAGTCCGGACCTTACTTGGAGAGACATTCAACACCTTTGCGTGCGAAACGCGCAACTCGTTAGCCCCGAAGATCCTGACTGGGAAACCACAGCTGCCGGGCGCCCTTTCAGCTACAAATACGGGTATGGCAAGATCGATGCGTATCACTACGTGACTGCTGCCCAAGCATGGCAGAATGTCAAGCCGCAGGCTTGGATAGAAATGGAAGCTATCCAGCTTCGTGGTGGGGTTTCGAATACCCTCGGGGAGATGTCCGGTGGAGAGCTAATTGTCGCTGGGGGTGTTACCAGCTCCATGACCCTCACCAAGGCGTTAATAGATTCTGAGAACTTTGAAAGTTTGGAGCATGTCACCGTGACGGTGTGGATTTCTCATAGCCGCAGAGGGGATGTCGAGGTAGAGATCGTGAGCCCTGCCGGGATCAAGAGTATCTTGGCTGCCACGCGCAAGTCGGATGCGGACACAGATGGATTCCCTGGGTGGAAATTCATGTCGGTCAAACACTGGTCAGCACACTTGTCATTATCGGCGTTGCTGGTAGATGCTAACTGTATCGCAGGGACGAGAATCCCGTTGGTGAATGGACTATCAAAGTCTCTGATCAGCAAAACGAGAACAACGGCAGTTTCGTGGGTTGGACCATGACTTTCTGGGGCTCCACGGTCGACGCTTCCCAGGTGAAGACGTATAACCTCCCCCTCGACAACGCCACATTCCCCCCTCTTGCCATAGAACACCCAATCCCCACTACAACTATAGAAGCTCCTGGAAACACCAAGACGCATCCTAAGCCGACCGCCGGCCTCCCCGATGACCATGCCGACAAGGAGGGCGAGGCACATAAACCCGCGTTCCCTGGCCAAGACGACGCTGCGGCCCCGAGCATGACCGGCACCCCGGATAACAGCTGGTTCCCTGGCATGGGCAAGCTCGTGTCCGACCAGAAGTGGTTCTTCATCGCAGCCGGAGCCGTTGTCCTCTTCGGCATCACCGCGGGCGTGTTCTTCTGGCGCCGCCGCATGGCCCAGCGCCGCCGTGCGAACTACTCTACCCTCGCTGCTGACGACCTGGCTATGAGCTCGGTTTCCAGGGACCGCGCGGGTGGCGGAGGTGGTCGGACAAAGGAGCTTTACGATGCGTTCGGGGAGGTGTCGGATGATGAGGACGAGGATGCAGATGAAGAGACTGGGCTTGCGAGGCGAGGAGCTGTCTCGCCAGGAGGACGGGGTTTCCACTCTGGATTTGATGACGATGATACCCAAAATGCTGGTCCAGCTTCTGTCTACAAGGATGAGCCGGAGCATTCCCGTGGTCTGCACGGGCACAGTGGCCTCGACAGTCCAGCCAGTCAAGGGACTGGAGACGGCAGTTGGGAGCATGCCTCTGATCCATAAGTGCACAAATGTGGTTTAGGTTGTATTTATACGGGTAGACACATCTATACAGCATGCAAGAAAAGCAATAATGGTCGGACAATATTAATGGCAGTAAGCGGTCTAAATGTGGTTTGCGTATGATGTGAGTAGAGCGCAGGCACTTGACGAACGAAGAGAAGCCAGACAGAGATACCGGGTGATTGTGGGCTACATTGCAAATTAGCAGGGTATGATGTTATATAGGGTGGGTCCGGGGCGTAGATGAATGCGATGCTCAAGTGCGGTATCATGATACTGTGCTATCCCCTTGCAATTCTTCAAACTTTTGGCGGGCCATGCGTATGTTCAGCTTGACAGCAGCCGTTTCTGGCGAAGACGTGGTCAGCATAACATGTAGCGAATGCACGTGTATCGTATGTCACTACACACCTATTGTAGGATCGTGCACTACGACCATGACATACGTGTTCTTCGTCATCTCGTCGAGGACGGCCGTGAATTCGGGGAGCTCCATCTCGAGGGAGTGGAATTCCTCACGCAGACGGGAGCAAGAATGCTTGAAGGCTTTGATAAGCTCTGAGGTGCGCTCGTACCGCGTCGGGTCCAATGCGTGTTGCCCGTGCTGTGTGAGCGTTTGGGACGACGAGGGAGATGTGGGAGATGACGGCGAGGGAGAAGGGGGCGAGGAGGTGGAGTTGCGAGCGTTAGAGGAGGTGGCGATAACGAGAAAAGTAGTGCGTTCAAAGAGGATGACTTCAGTTGCGCTGCAGGCCTCGGCGAATGTGGTTAAGTGCCGGGTCAGTACGGCGGCGTTGGGAATTAAGGTGTGTACGATGCTTGACCATGCCTTTAATAAAATATTTCAGTTGCAATGACCAGTAGGAGATAGAAAGAGGGCATGCGTACCCGGTAGAGAGACTCGTCATATATGCTCGTGCCAAAGACTACCACTCCTGCACCCCGACTCTCCCCTTCTAGTGCCTTCTTTCTCTTCTCAAACACGCTCCCTCCTTTCGTTTTCACCAGATCCATCTTGTGTACCAACAAGAATACGCCAGCTTCGGGGCTGAACTGCCGCAGACCCTCTAAGCAGTCCCGATAGTACTCGAGGTCCTTATCGGTTTCGCGGCTCTCGACGTCAAATACATAGATCATGACGCCAACATGCTGGAATATAGTGGACCGTTGGGTTGTGAGGTATGAGTCCATGAACGCATCTTGGCCACCGCAATCCCAGAGATTCAAGATGAGGTCACCAAGGAAGCGAACGTGATTCTGTTCAACGTCGATCGTAGCACCAAGGCGTGAGGTAAGAGATGCGGGATTGTTCGAGCTTTCGTAAATCAGGACGAGAGCTCACGATGCACGCATATAATACGCACAAGATGAGGGAGCGCATGGATGTCTTGCCGCTGCCTGAAGCACCCATGAGAAGGACCTGTCGAATCATACAATCAAATTATAAGCCAGATAGTAAATCAAGATGGGTACCTTTTTCTTCATTATATGCTTTCCAGTAATTGGGCGTTGTAGTGGCGGTCAAATGGTTGGTATAACTGGAAAGGCGCGTGCAAGGAAGGTAGACCGTAGTTGCTAGTAACTAGACATAGGCGCCTCCGGTGAAACATGCCATTGCTCCGGAAACCACAGATCAGCCAGTGATGTACAACACAGAATGACTGGAATACAAGGCGATGTAGCCAAGTGGTTACGGCGATTGATTCGAATATCTCGAACCATCAATTCCTCTTGTAGGGCGTAGGTTCGAATCCTGCCATCGTCGGTATGTTTTTGCTTTTGCACACATTGAGCTTTTGCCAATAACGTTGGCGACATCCCCATAAAATTTTGCTGCATTGGAACGTAGAGACAGGCCCTTGTTTTATCATTAGCACTCAGTGGATCTAATAAACAGAAATTTCTTTAAAACTATAGCATGTGCTATACATTGAATTAACCAAACAAGAACGTCCAAAGTCCCTCAGGCTCTTTAAAATCGTGATGCACTATGCTGATCAACCACCGTTTCTGCGCAACCCCATCTAGTAAATTTCGCTCCTTAGATCCTGGTCGGTAGAACGATGCCCACTCTGTCCATATCGAGAATGCTTCCTCCTGTGATACACAGAGCGCAACTTCAGCAATGTAAACGTTAACATGCAAGCTATGCTAACCTTCCAAGACAGGAAGGATTCCCGCTCGATGATGGTCGACTGTGCGATCTCCTGACCGGTAAATACCCCCCAAGTGACGGCGTTTCTACCATCTTCCGGCATGTTCGTGCGACATTCACCCTTTCAAAATTCGGAGTTCAGCACGATCGCTCCCGCTCCAAAAAAAAATAAGACCGCACCTGTAGATTCCCAGCGAAAAAATCCACCCACCCCTTACCGCTCTCGCGAACCTTCTTCTCAATGTGCTCCACATCCGCCTCCTCCGCAAAGAACTCCACGAACGCCTTCTGGTATACATACCCGCCCCTTGGGCCCCAACCTACAACCTCGTCGCTGGAGCGTGCGCCGTCGACAGCGGGCTGCGAGCAAACGGTCCACCAGCCCTTGTGCGTCAATTTTTCGAGGTGCGCAAGGATAGTCAGGGATTCAGGCGACAGCGGCTCCGAGGAAAAAGGAGTGGTGGCGATTTCGGAATGCAAGTGCCGCAGGAAGAGGCTCGTGAGATCGTCGAGGGTCTTTGGATGCCCCCATTGTGCAAAAGCGTCGCTGCGCTGAAGTAGGCTGTCAGTGAAATGTCAGGATGATCTGGAGGGATTTCTAGCTTACCGTGATGCCGACACCGCCCCACAGACCCTGGTTTCCAAAAGCAGGACTTTTGTAGTCCCCAAAGCGGCCGTTCGGAAAGTCATCCCAAGACGCGGCGTTGTTCAGCTCTCCTCGGCCTGCTTCACTATCTGTCGGTGGTAGGTTTGCAAGGCCAGATTTTGCAGACAGGGTGGCAAGGTTGGGGGTCGTCAATAAGTCATAATTATGTTGGGTTGGTAGGAGCAACGGGCTGGGGGCAGTATCCTATGGTACATCAAGCTCAACAAAAATCGCGATGTTTGATTATAGGCGGCTCACAGTTATTAATTGATTATGCACATGGGGGCTACCACCGGTCCAGTGCAAGTTCTCGAGGACAAGTTGTACGCTCTTCTCAAGGTTCAGCGTGCAGAAATTAACGCCGCGGATGTCACTCTCTGCAGTTATTCGGCGTATGGTATCAACCGCTAATGCGATGCCGTAGTCTTTCACTTTCTGATCATCGTGCTGCAGTTACGACAAAGGTCATTATCAGAACGAGCACCGATATTTCAAAACACATACATGGATAGGCTCTAAAGCTGCTGTGACCTCAGGTGGAACTTTGCAGCCGCAAAGCTTGATGAGTCGCTGAAATGAGGAGTAGGTCTGGATTGGCATAATTCCCGGAACAATTGGAACCGTGATGCCTGCACGTTGTCAGAGCAGGATACAGAAGAGCAGGGACTTGAAGTACCTTTAGCCCTGACCTTCTTGACCCACGCCAAGAAACCATCGACGTCGTAGAAAAGCTGCGTAAATATGACATCTGCCCCTGCTTCCACCTTCTCTTGGAGATATTTGAATTCGCCTGCTTCATCTGTCTCATGATCCGGATGGCCATCGGGATAGGCTGACCATATCAATAATGGTGAGTTGGATATTCATAAGTGATTGTTAGGGAGAGAGACCTGCCACGCCGATGCAGAAGTACGAGGAGAATTCTGGGGATGAGCGGATGTACTTTACGAGGTCGACGGCATGGGTGAATGCTGGATCAACCGGAGTCCACGCTTCTTCGCCCCTAGGCGGATCTTAGAAAGGTAAATAAGAGGTTTAGTAATTTAATAGAAGCCATGATGGGCATACCTCCACGCAATGCAAGTATAGTTTCGATACCACGCTCTTTCGCTTCCTAGGTAGATAACGATTAGTTTGAACAGGCCATATTTTAGTGGTCACTCACTCTTAGCGCATTGTCCACCAATCCTTTGACCATATTGGTGCATGTTAGATGCAAGACTGTATCGATCCCATACTCGGCTTGTGTCAAGCCGGCCAGCTCGAGACTGCGTTCCTTCGTAGACCCTCCAGCACCCCATGTTATGCTAATCGCGAGGGGGTCCAAGAGAGCCAGGCGCTGAATACGTGAGACCAGGTTCTCGAAGCCCTGTATCGCTCGATTGAGTGCATTGCCCTGCCAATTAGATGATGAATCGGTAAGACCTGATCTGTCCTCGGTGGGAAGAATTCAAAAGTGTAGAACGGCCTGGTCGGCTCATAAGCCTTAATCTTGTCGGATAACTTCATAGCTCAGTTCGTCCAGGCCAAGAAGATCAATACGACGTGGTCGGAAGACAAGATGTGAAAGGTTAATAAATTATTGCTATGGCGCAACACGCCTCCGAGTATCACGTTAGACGCCCGCGGTGTCGGTTCGCTGTCGGAGAGCTCTCAGGCTCGCAAAGCACGCTGCACAACACGACGACCACGTACAACCTAAGCATACATGGACTCCCAACCTGCGACGCCTGCGGCCTCAGACTTTTCCTCGGCCCCCCCGAAACGCACAAAAATTGTTCTTCTGGGCGACCAGAGCGTTGGTAAGACCAGCTTGATCACAAGGTGAGTGTTGGCCAATGAGGCGCAGGGAACATCGTGAACCAAGGCGCTGTGCATTAGGTTTATGTATGATACCTTCGACAATACATATCAAGCGACGATCGGGATCGACTTCCTCAGTAAAACGATGTACTTGGAGGACCGAACAGTACGCTTGCAGCTTTGGGATACCGCAGGCCAGGTACGCGGCAGTCTACACATTGCCGACTGGAGCGCAGGTTGCTAACATTTCTGTGCAGGAGCGGTTTCGGTCTCTCATACCTTCTTACATTCGAGACTCTTCAGTCGCAATTGTCGTCTTTGATATCACAAGTCAGTGTAACCTCCAGATGTGCCATCATGCCGTGCTGGTGCTTATACCTGCCCAGACCGCCAATCATTCATGTCTACATCGAAGTGGATAGACGATGTGCGCTCTGAGAGAGGGAAAGATGTTATCATCGTCCTGGTGGGGAACAAAGCGGACTTGTCCGATAAGCGGTCAGTCATTTGAGTCAGATCTCGTACATTCTGATGTGCTAAAGTGCCGTCGATAGACAAGTAACACTTGAAGAAGCAACCGCAAAGTCCACGCAGTTGGAGGTCATGTTTATGGAGACGTCCGCGAAAGCAGGCCATAACGTCAAATCCCTGTTCAAGAAGATCGCTATGTCCTTACCAGGGATGGAGAAGGAAGGGCAAGCTGACGGGCAGAACACGAGTGCGTACTGACCTTTCGAACGCAGTCATGGCCACTCATTTCCCGCCTGCAGAGATCGATGTTACGAATCCTACGAACTCGGAAGTACCAGAAGCTTCAAGTTGCAACTGTTAATGAATAAGCACTCTGAGCCGCCCCTAATCACGGTGCTGCGCACCTTATCGCTGTGGTAAATAGTATCCTTACTGTTGTTTTCTCTATTCGCTGTATTAGACTGCGAATATACGGGCTTAACCACCCACATCCCGCATGTCAGACCCGGCATGCTGTCGCTAAACGTGTACTTTTGCTGAAGGCAAATCAACCTCGATTCATTGTGTTGCCTGCACCCTTAGCGTTTACATCGGTGTACATCGCCCAATTTTCATCTTTCTGTCTCTTCTGCTCCGCTTTGTCCTCCCCAAATGCAGTGCCGTCCTGCTCAGCGTCGATAGCAAGCTGTTCAGAAGACGTGGGATCTGCCTCGGATTCCGGACTGGCAGAAATGAAGAAATTCAGTCCATGGGGGACATCAACGGGCTGTTCGACATACCCTCCTCCAGAGATAAATTTGCCAGCATCCATCTCAATTTGCAGGAGCTCGTCTATAGACATCGTAGGCAGCCGATGGCCCGGGCCAAACACCTGAGATTGAAGGCGCGTCCTATCGGAGGCTCCCGCAGGTAGAATGGTGAATGGGCGCAGGGGCTATAAAGGTGTTAGTCTCGTGTGCACAGTCAAGGCAGGCCTGACTCACCTTGCCACTAGGGTCAAGCAACGGACCACTTGCTGCTGAAACCACAGGCGTATCAAGTTTCCATATGTCATCTTCATCCTTGACTTTGCCCCTTCGATCGTCTGTAGGTGTTTGATCAGGTGGTGGTGGTGGGGCAGATCTTAATAGCTCCAGCTCTTGATCCATGCTCTCCAACTGCCCCTGGGATAGTGCGTATGTTAACCGGAGCAGAAGCAAGGTGGTCTCTCGCAAGATCTCGTCCATTTCTGAGTCTTCGTCATCATCGTCAAAGTCGGCTTGCGTGGACGAAGGCGGTGGGAGCAGCGAGGAGATTAGGTCGAAGTCGGTGGTTACAGTATCTGAAGTAGCCAGTTGTCTCCGGCGTTTGCGTATAATCTAGCCCATCAATTGAAAATTTGCTAAGGGCTTCAGATTGCTGTGAAAGACTTACCTCTATCCGAGTGCGTAATTCCTTCTCCTTCTGATACTGCTTGATCTTCAACTCCCTTCTCTTCGCGGGATCCTTCACATTTCCCGATCTCTGCTCATACAGCTCCCTATCTCCAGCTGGGACTATTTCATACTGCTCCAGCATCCCGACGAAGCTCTTCAAGTACCGCTGTGCAGTCCCTAGATGTGACATCCGCACGTCGTGCTCGATCGCCTTGACACGGCCTTGCAGCTCTGCAGCGACAAAGGGGACGAGCAGATAGACCAAATCCCGCGTC